GAAGTGGCTTCCTGCCATTGGAATCTATTGTAATGAGAATGAACTTAGGGTCATTGTTCAATATTCAAGACAGGTTCTGAATGGAGAATTACTTTGCATTTAAATGTCTTTGTAGTGAACTAATTCCTGACTAAACCTAAAGTTTAATACTACAGGATGACTGTGCAGGTTCTGTACCACATCACCTTCATCTGCTGCATCACATTAACTCTGCAAAACAGAATTTTGATTCAGGAATCAGGTGTTTTATTCAAAAGAAGTCGAAGGGGGTTTGAAGGAAAGCAGAGCATGTTTCCGTGCATGTTCAAACCAAACATCAGACTGTGTCTATAAACCTTACAGCAGTTTAATCTGTACCTCACAGCAGAAAGGGGAAGGCCCCGTCAAATTAAATGGCTGACTTTCATGGCCTCGGGCCACTGCAGTCAGACAGGGATGAGCTGGAAAAGCAGAGGCACTTCAACTCTGATTAAATATTCATCAGTCAGAGGAATTAAATTCTTCCTCTCAGGTCGTGGAGGTTCCCACCCATAAAATTAAGGAATCTGTCTGCTGAAGGATGATGTTTTTTAAAAGACTCATTTTAAAATTTGAAGGGCTTGTGTGTGTGTTCCCTAACAGGCCCCAGAGTCACTCACTCCTGTCTTGTCTCAACCTGAAACCTGGCAGGTTGTGACTGTGCAGAGAAGGGTAATACATTCCAAGAATACCATGGGGTCAGGGGACTGGAAGAGCCAATAGGTGGCCAGCTGACTGCCCAGTCCCTCCTCCCCTCTACAACAGAGAACAAAAAAAGCCCTCTCAGGAAAAATCTCTCAGAGACCTTAAATGAGGGAATCAAAGAGAAGTGGGGAGTGGAGAAGTGAATACCTCAAACAAATTGGCCTCAGGTAGCTTTTAGATAGTTCAGGTGTAACCCATCCCCAAGGAGAATAGATGATGGTCCACTAATTGGTCATATATACCCCCCTTGAATCAAAAAACATTTTTCAATTGCTTCAGCTGAGCCAAAATACACTGCTTGATTCAGACTAATTAGATGATAGCCTACATCTTAAGAGGTTAAGGAAAAACTTTATTGCACTCGCTTTATTGCAGAAGCAGGAGTGGAAACCCTCTGTCTTGACCTTTATCCTGGACTTTGTCTGACTCATGCATGCGCAAAGAACGGCCACTTTGAATATTGTACATGTCACGACTGGTTTATATGCAGAGTTCTTGCATTTTTCAAATATCCACACTATGGCTCGCTCTAATAATGAGGAAACATGTAACAAACAGCTCTGTGGTGCGGTGAGACAGATCTAGGGCCACAACAGAAACCAGACAACAGAGGAAACAGACAGCGCTGTAAAACCAGCCAAAGTCAAACATGAGACACACCATCAACACATTGTGATGTGTCTTTACAGAATCACAGAGTATGTACACAACTACTGTAGGTCTGAGAACTGTCTGTCTTTAGTCAACAGTGGTGGCTCCACATATAACAAATGGGCTGAGAGAAACCCTAACGTTGTAAGAAATCAATCTACACCACCTTGCAGAAAACTTTTTTTCTTGAGAAATTCAAGAGTGAAAGTGAGATTTTGGTTTCAGGTATGTAGGTCAACACTTTCCTTTTTAACCACAGGTTAAAGTCACATCAAGGGTGAAAGTGTATTGTCTAGTATATTCTAGAGTCCCACTTCTTTAAATGCAAGTTCTTTAAATAGAGCACTCTGACATACAGCACCAAACATATCACAAGTCAATGGAGTATATATAATTGCTGATATTTCCGGCATAATTGTTTGCATTAGCTGCTTGGCTAATGTCAAGCTAGCAGGGGGAACAAGACAACACAACAGCAATAGTCTTTAATGTTTCCTCAACTTTAAAGGAATAGTTTGACATTGTAGGAGATAAGCTGATTCACTTTATTGCCAAGACTTAGACGAGAAGATAGATACCACACACTCATGTCTGTATGCTTAATATGAAGCTACTGCTAGTAAATGTTTAGGTTAGCTTAGCATAAAGACTGGAAACAGGAAACACCTTGCTCTGTCGACGGGTATACCATGTTACACTTAGTGAGATTTAGAGATGCTATTTGATGGATTTTGTTTTAGCTAGCTGTTCTCCCTGTTTCCAGTGTTTGTGCTAAACTAAGCTAAAGCCAAGCTCAGAAGATTTTAAATCCTAACTGATGTTGAAATCGGGTTGCACCACACACATAAGGAGAAACTTCACAGATGTTCTTCTCTCTTATCTCAAACATGCACAGTCTACAAAATTAGAAATAATAGTGCATCACACCAGGCCCCAAAGAAGTGCCCAGCCAATTTTCATAGGGCCAAACATTGGAATTACACTGTCACATGATGCCCTGTGGCCCAAAAAGACTGTTTTACCATTGTTAAATGACTCGTTTCACAATCAGAACTTAATCCATTCGGTACAATAACAATTAGATCCCCATTTAAGTTAGTGGAGTGCTTAACTTAAACAGTACCAATCATCCGGGTAATTTTATATGCAGTAGTTTTACCATTTTGGATTCATGCACCACTGAGCAACTTTTATAGGGATGAACGGGTCCCCACCTCCAACACTGTATCTAGGTCTCTTCATACATCGATACATCGTACACTACAGGATAAAATTATGGTTATCATGCTAGGGAGCATGAATGCACCACCTCATGTGATCTCATGGAGAAGCAGGTGTGAACAAAAAAAGAGACTGACAGCTTCCTGTAAAGTTAACAATGTTTTGCAGTGAGAAAAATAAAAACAGAAAGCTCAACGAGTATGGATGAGAAATTGGTGGGGAGACGCGGTCAACACTGGTTGTCTATTCATTGGTGATACATGAAGGCGAGATTCGACTGTCCATTTTAACATCTGTAAACAGTGGCATGCTAGCTAATGTTAGTCTCAGGACTAGAATGTTTACCGTTTCTTGGCAACATCGTCACCTGCTTCATACTGATGTAATCATAACTGTAATCAACTAGATTTTAAATCATCCTGTTGGCCCCAGTGAGTATATGAGTAATTTGGGAGGTTTAAGACTGGATCTGTAGTCTAAACCTCTCGCATCACTAGATAATGCGGGCTGAACATTGGTACTGACCAAGGTCCCAGACCAAAATTGTTCTATGATTGTCATGAGGTTGAAACGGGCATAAACCAACCCAAAACTCATGTAGCCTGAGGCCGGTTAAAGCACCTTCTGGCCATAGCTATATATTCACCGCACAGAGTGGTATTGATATTTTCATCTAACTCTGCAAGTAAGTACTTCCCAAAATGTATTACACTCTTCTTGAAACTTAATCCAGAGGCCTGAAATGAATCCTTAATGACCTAATTAAAAGCTACAATGTGAAACTGAGCATTAATTAGTTTAAACTTCTTAACTAGCAGGGACTGATGAGACTTCTTACAGCCTCCTTGTCACCACGGGCTGGCAGCCTCATTACCAGCGCCATGTGGTCCCCTTCTTAGGTTGCAGTCTGTGGACAGTGAATCCATCCCTCTGGAGACGGGGCCAAGATGGCACATCGATCGAGTGTCAGCTGGACACTGCTTTCCATTCTATAAACTAGGGGGAAATTTCTGCAGAGATCAGGCTGATAAACCTCACGTTCAGACTCACTCCACTGGTGACAACAGAGAGGATGTGGGCCCTGGTTCGCAATTTTCTTCTTCCTGCATTAGCCTTCAAAGCAGGACACAGATAACAGCAAGTTGTGGACACGCTGTGTGATCATGGATGCGGAAGGATGAGGGGGCCACTGTAATTGGCCGAGGGAAATCCTACACTAAACAATGATACAGTTTGAGGATCTTTCATTAAAGAAGCTACATGAAGGAAAGATGTGTCACACACATGCTTTCCCTTGAACATCAACTATTCCGAAAACACACAAAAAAAGCATGTACTTTCATGTAAATCCTCCCAAACACTGTTAACTCTACATGAGCATTTATGTCTTGGTAATAACAACCTACAAGTGTTACAGGCCAATGAACACCTTTATTGCGAAACACAAACCCACTTGTGTCTTAGCTGAATGTAATAGCCTCAGGATAGAGGGAAAGAAACTAGAACACGCTATGCCATGGCTTTCTATGCACTCCATAATGGATATGTACACTGAAGTCAATACAGAAGTGACACATAGGAACTCATGAACTGACTTTTATTTCACAATATTAACACTTAGACTAATTTTCCACATGCTGTGATGACCTCAAAAGACACTTCAGCATGTGTAACTTCACCTGGCCCTGCTGTTTCACCTGCAGCTACAAATTTGTGTCACAGAACAGGAATTATGTCTCATAGTTTGTCAATTAGGGCTTTTTAACCGTAGGATTGAGTCAGAGCTGGAGAATGGCACTTGCAATAATTGGATGATTGCAGGTATTGGAAAAAAAGCTATTCAGGTACAACTGCAACCCGTTTTGCACATACATGGCTGAGTTTTAATACCTCAGATTTCTGTTTGTGTCTGCTTTCCACACGTTGACTGCAACACACTGAGTTTTTCCTGACGCAGGTAGCAACTTCCGCACGATTGCAAGACTTTGATCAAATCTTTTACATACGACAGATGCGCAAATATGGCACAATGAGTCTGAAAATGGTCTCTAGGGGTACACTTATATATAAATATGTAGATATTTAAACCGCATCGCTACTTTTGAACAGGTGGCTGCCTTCAGAGGAACTATATTACGTGCAGAAAAGGGGAAGTGTGTGATGAGAAGGAAACAACAACAAGACGTAGGAAAGCCAGTTTATAAACTGGCCACATGTGTTAGACGCAATATACTGTGGACTCCAATGCGTTATCGCGCAAAGTTAGCGCAGATCTGTGAGGCGGATAAAAGGGTTGTTTTTCGTAACGCCACCTGGTCCAAGGCAGGTGCGCAGTCTGCGTATTTTAACCTCAATAGGAGAAAGAAGTGAAGTATTTTGTGAGCCATGCACAGCTGATAACTTACAGGTACTTTCTGGAGCCCTCCGTCTGGTGATGCAGAGCGACTGAGAATCCAAAGAAGCTCCCTTTGGTTTTCCCCTCTTTGATCACAGGAAACCGTTCATCTATGTTAAATCCACTGCAGGTTTGCGTCCCGTGGTACACAGCCAAAACTGCGCACAGCAATAGTCTGGGAGACATGTTTGGGCTGTTCATGCCTCGCAAGTGTAATGGGTTTTCCCGCAGATCCGAGATCAGCGTGGGTCGGGCACGGTAGTCTCCCGCAATGAGCTCCAACAGGTAGGCTGCGCTTCACAGAGACTTGCCCATTGAGAGCCGGCTGTCTGTCTCTCCCTCTCTCCTGCACTCACAGTTACTGGCTAGGTGTCGGTGTCTGCCTCCCTGTGGCTCTCTCTGCCGCCCTCACCTGCTCTCCCTTCCTTCCTCTGTGCCCTCCACACCCTTTAGGAACAAGTGCAATCGCTGCATTCACACACACTGCAGTGTGGTTAGCAGCGTGAAACCGCCGTCTCTCGCCTTTTCTCCCCTCCCTGTCTCTGTTTCTGGCTTTCACACACGTACAACATTCTTGCACCTGTTCTGCCTCAAAGCAAAAGTTTCAATTTCACTTTTCATAAAAAAGTTATCATCAAAGCCTCATTTTACACAACATATTGGACATAACTTGGTGTCTGTGCAGTATACACGTGTATGTGAATTGAGTTTTCATTCAATAAGCGACAATATTACAGTAGGGGAGACTGGGGATGGTTGTAACAAAGGGATAGTTATAACAGCACCACTGTCACCAAGTAGGCATGACCCAAGAGTCATGTAATACATTTATTGTATAATCACAGTGATCATTGTTGGTTAGCACTGCATGGTCACCATTGTCGCTTCACAGCACAGAAGGTTCCTAGTTCATGGGGGAGCCCCTCTGTGTGGAGTTTGCATGTTCTCCCCATGTCAGCATGGGTTTTCCTCCGGGTACTCCGGCTTCCTCCCACCATCGGAATACATACAAGTTAGGTTAATTGGTGACTCTAAACTGCCCGTAGGTGTGATTGTGAGTGATTGTCTGTCTCAGCCCTGTTTCCACCGAGCGGTTCAGTTCGGTGCGCTTTTTTCTGTTTCCAGTGTGAAAAGTTGTGAATGGTACCAATGTACAGTACAGGCCAAAAGTTTGGACACACCTTCTCATTCAATGTGTTTTCTTTATTTTCATGACTATTTACATTGTAGATTCTCACTGAAGGCATCAAAACTATGAATGAACACATGTAGAGTTATGTACTTAACAAAAAAGGTGAAATAACTGAAAACATGTTTTATATTCTAGTTTCTTCAAAATAGCCACCCTTTGCTCTGATTACTGCTTTGCACACTCTTGGCATTCTCTCAATGAGCTTCAAGAGGTAGTCACCTGAAATGATTTTCCAACAGTCTTGAAGGAGTTCCCAGAGGTGTTTAGCACTTGTTGGCCCCTTTGCCTTCACTCTGCGGTCCAGCTCACCCCAAACCATCTAGATTGGGTTCAGGTCCGGTGACTGTGGAGGCCAGGTCATCTGCCGCAGCACTCAATCACTCTCCTTCTTGGTCAAATAGCCCTTACACAGCCTGGAGGTGTGTTTGGGGTCATTGTCCTGTTGAAAAATAAATGATCGTCCAACTAAACGCAAACCGGATGGGATGGCATGTCACTGCAGGATGCTGTGGTAGCCATGCTGGTTCAGTGTGCCTTCAATTTTGAATAAATCCCCAACAGTGTCACCAGCAAAACACCCCCACACCATCACACCTCCTCCTCCTCCATGCTTCACAGTGGGAACCAGGCATGTGGAATCCATCCGTTCACCTTTTCTGCGTCTCACAAAGACACGGCGGTTGGAACCAAAGATCTCAAATTTGGGCTCATCAGACCAAAGCACAGATTTCCACTGGTCTAATGTCCATTCCTTGTGTTTCTTGGCCCAAACAAATCTCTTCTGCTTGTTGCCTCTCCTTAGCAGTGGTTTCCTAGCAGCTATTTGACCATGAAGGCCTGATTCGCGCAGTCTCCTCTTAACAGTTGTTCTAGAGATGGGTCTGCTGCTAGAACTCTGTGTGGCATTCATCTGGTCTCTGATCTGAGCTGCTGTTAACTTGCGATTTCTGAGGCTGGTGACTCGGATGAACTTATCCTCAGAAGCAGAGGTGACTCTTGGTCTTCCTTTCCTGGGTCGGTCCTCATGTGTGCCAGTTTCGTTGTAGCGCTTGATGGTTTTTGCGACTCCACTTGGGGACACATTTAAAGTTTTTGCAATTTTCCGAACTGACTGACCTTCATTTCTTAAAGTAATGATGGCCACTCGTTTTTCTTTAGTTAGCTGATTGGTTCTTGCCATAATATGAATTTTAACAGTTGTCCAATAGGGCTGTCGGCTGTGTATTAACCTGACTTCTGCACAACACAACTGATGGTCCCAACCCCATTGATAAAGCAAGAAATTCCACTAATTAACCCTGATAAGGCACACCTGTGAAGTGGAAACCATTTCAGGTGACTACCTCTTGAAGCTCATCGAGAGAATGCCAAGAGTGTGCAAAGCAGTAATCAGAGCAAAGGGTGGCTATTTTGAAGAAACTAGAATATAAAACATGTTTTCAGTTATTTCACCTTTTTTTGTTAAGTACATAACTCCACATGTGTTCATTCATAGTTTTGATGCCTTCAGTGAGAATCTACAATGTAAATAGTCATGAAAATAAAGAAAACGCATTGAATGAGAAGGTGTGTCCAAACTTTTGGCATGTACTGTAACTGTCGTGTACCGTCCCCATTTTTGGTCACCCCTCTGTTGGGGTGCCTAGCACACAGATCTGGTACTAAAAGGTGGAGCTGTGAACACTGCAGTCCGTTGATTGGTCAATAGTGGATGGTTGCTGTGCTCAGGGCTGATCTGTGGCTGGTTTTGAGGCTCATGTAACCACTGTTCATACCATGGAGAGTTTTATGTATACAGTATAGGTAGACTGTAACTATAAAATAAAAGGATGTTTTGCTACCTCTTGCAGCAGCTGGAGTCTCAGAAAAACACATTTAATTCTCTGGGGCGACTGCTGGTGACTTTTAAGGTGGAATTTTAACTTGTAATGTTACTCAATGCATGAGCTGATAACATGAATCTATCAGCACACCTTAAATTTCAATGTGAAAACTTTGGCCATTCCATTAGTTTCTATTGTGTCTCTTGGATATACTTTTAGTAATGAGTGGATCTTGAAGTGTTTAAAAATATATTTTAATTTCGACCAGATTATGTGAACTACATATATTCTAATCCTTACTTGGAGACAAAACGAGTGTCATGGAGCATAGTTCTTGTGGGCTACGGCAACACTAAATCCCTGAGCTTGCCTGAGAAGAACTAAATACGCAAACCCACTATATCTAAATATCCCATAGAGAGAGACTTTCACTGCAGCCTTTTCTATTTTGCTCTGAAAATGTCGGTGTGCAGCCTCGTTCTGTGGACAATAAACGAGGTGCAGACTTCCATCTGTGTCACCGGTGATGAGGAAATACAGTGGGTGCTGGACGGAGCAGTGAGTGACCACAATTTAAGCCCACATTTAAGAGTACTGTTCAGAGTGGAAACCTAGGGTCTAGGTACCATGTCTGAAGGGTTACTTTTGGTTCCAAAGGTAACATACCGAAAGTGTTTGGTGGAAACGGGCCTTATGATCACTTCCTGACCTAGCATGTGAAATTTCTTAGCGGTGTGAAGATTTTTGCAGGTTTTATAGGCACAATACTGATTTTCATGTATGAAAGTAATTTTTTGTACCAATTCTATATTTTGATTGGTGCTGACACTGTTGAATTAAGAAGTATGTCGCTAGATTACAGAATTGGGTAAAATGTGAGGCATTTCTCCTTTGCTCATTTCAAACTACCATGCTGCTACAGTTTAACAATGGCTGACAGGAGCGGGGATAGTTGTAAGACCTTTGAAAGAATGTTACAACAAACCCCAATGACAACTAAGCACATTCTCTCTATATATCCTGCTCCTTTTCAGCCTGTAAGGAGAGTGGGTGAAAAAGAAATGATAGGGGTGTGCTTGCATGTACTGGAGTCTGAAACAGATGAGGTGAGGCAGGGAAAGACAGTGAGGTCTGTCCCCAAAGAGCACTCAATCTGACATGAGACATTGAACAGATACTGCAAGAAATTACAAAGCCTTAGAGAAAGAGGATCTACCCTATGTGGGTGATCACAGCAGTCAGAGTCTTCAGTGCACAGCAAGATGATGTGTTGAGTGGTTACTGACTGAGGCATCAGACTTGTATTTTGGACTCACTCCTTGTGAGGTACTAAGAATCTGACAGGTACAGGTTAGCGAGTTGGACCTTAGTAGACATGAGTTATTATCAGTTATTGTGTGTATTTGCAACTTAACCCAGGATGTGTAAAGTCCAGTTGAGACCAAAAATTCAAAACAGGAAGAGTTGATACTTGCAACCATTTGCGATGCCCCAATGTGGAACATTCTGAAACCTGCCAGTTTACACAAATGTGACTAGATGAGATGGTGTATCATCTCCATTGCAACAACTCTCTGAGCTTCTAACTTCCAAATAACGATTGTAAAAGTACTTTGGGGTTTTTTTAGTATGTGTGTGACATGCACACTTACAGCCAGCAGCAGCAGCAGCAGCAGCATTAATCCACCATCTGACACCAACACACCGTGAGGACAGAGACCGACATGTGTGACTACAGCCGCAGAGATGTAAATGAGATGGACTCGGGCTTGGCAGAGATGGAGCGACTGTTGTCAGGAGAATGCCATAGCAAGCAAATACTAACCAGCCACTGGCGACTTGACAAGCCGAGTCGCAGGTGACTCCATCAGCCGGCTTACGTCAAGCTGAAATGGGCCAAATCACAGCACTGCAGTTTTTCTCTCAAACATTCTAAAACTGTTTGTTGCAAATCTTGGATCTGAGCTGGGTTTTACAACTTACCTTAGTAGTGGGGCAGCCCAGCCAAGATTTGTTTGTGGAGTCCATGTGGGTAGTAAATGGGCTGAAAAATGGGCCCTATACTGCATTGCCCACGTGTTCCATACTGGGCCTATGCCAAATGCCTACATGTGGGTTTGCCCAAGTGGGCCCCACATGGGTCATGCTGGGGCTACCTGGGTACAAAGTGGGTATGGGTCCAAAATGGGCATCTCATCCAGTATTTTCCCTTCAGCAGCATTAAAAAGGACAGTCATTAGTCCCAAAGGCACATTAAATATTACATGTAAGTCAGTAAAGCGTTTTCTCAACAAACATCAAGACAATATGGTATTAATGTTTCTGAAATGATTGCATCTGTTGAACCTTTTTGCACTCATCACTCGCAAGGAAGAGCAGACAAATGCTTACTCAAGCTGGGTAAATGTTTATATTAAATTTCATTAGCATGAAATAAGAGAGTACATTTTGTGTAGAA